TACAGTAAGGTAAACAGGAGACTAGACGTGAGAATAAAGAGCGAAACGGATTATGCGGAGTTCAAGTGACTCACTTCCAGCAATTCGAGGAACTATGCATGCGATACAAACCAGGAAAAATGATATACAGTACCATATACTGTACTGTATTTTGAAGCTGCGGAGTGTCCTGCATGATTTAAGCGTTTAAGTTTTAAAATTTCGTCGCACCTTTGATAGGAATTCGGAATCAAGGGTACTCCGAATAATCATGCGTTTGGGTAGTTGGATGATTGTTGAGCATTTGTTGTACAGTTGAATGATTCTTACCGAAGAGACTTTAAATTCTCCAAGTGAACATAGAGTCTTTCACATATGCAGATCCAAGATTTTGATTAACATTGGAAGTCAACAGAAATTATGTTTGATCCGCCAAAAAGGGAAGGGAAAATTCATAATCCGATGTATGTTTGATTGGTTGATGCTTGAATAATCAGAGCTTTACTTCAGCCGACTAAAATCCATTCCATTGGCTTTCGAAAGATACCGGATTTCTGGTATAATTGATCTCATATGATCATCACGCGCATTTCAAAAAAATCAAAGGGGAAGTAGTGTGCTTCTCAAGAGGGTTGAATGGGTCCATCAGAAGGTTGTCCCAGTTACCCGTGATTCCAAGTGGCTCACAAGCAGCCAGCCGTTCAACACATCCCAATTGTTTGAAGCGAACTTACAAGCGTTCTCCTCAAACTTTTTCCAAGACTTTTTGAAAAAGTATAAACTCTAAAAAATAATGATGGATTTTGGTCTCAATCTTGGTCTCCCTCGGCGGAAAAGGAATCATAAAATTTTTAGCTATCCAATTGCTTTTTCGATGGGATTGCTCAACTAGTCCGAAAGATACCACATCAACATTAAAATTGGTTCATTTCATTTAACCGTGCATAAAATGAAATTCTCTTGTAAATAATCGCTCACGCCTAGGTTTTACAGTCAAATGATGAATTTATAAAAAGGCATTCAACAGAACCAAAACCCCAAACTGCTCGGTATACACATGAGAGATTGAAACTAATCGACTGCTGACGCCAGCTATTTTGTTTTCAATCGGGTATCGAATATGATTATTCGAATAGACTTCTTTGGACCTTGAAACTGATCCATGAGTAGAATTCAGTTTTAGTACTGGATTACTAACTGCATCTTTAAAAACTAATATTAATGCTTTCCAATGGAATTAAAACCAAGAGCCCCAAAATTTGCATAAATTCAGTTAACTTCGAGTTAAAGATTCGTCACTGAAGTTCTTGAGGTTGAATAATGCACAAGCTGCATTGTTATGCTCGAACACCGGATCAACCACATTTTTACCTCATATTCGTATCTTGCTGGTGTGTTGGACACAAAATGGATCAATATTTAATATGAACACTCAGTATCGTAAATTGCGACTCTCTTTTGGCGAACTCATTTACGAAAATGCATGCATAAAAAAGGGTAAAATATCCATACATACTCTGGGCATTATTTGAAGTACAGTATTTTCAAGCACTTGATGGATCGATTCGTTTCACTGCCTGTTGTTTAAGCGCCCTCACATCAAATAAATGGAAAGGGAACTCACGCGGCTTTTAAATGGACAGTATTTTGTTCAATTTTCTAGCGTCGTTTTTTATTGGTTATTGTAAAAAGATGTATTTCGTTATCTGATAGCGTATCAATGTAGGGATTCCGAGATGCCATCAAAACTGCATTCAATCATTTTGGTATGCCTTGAGCGGGAAGTTTATTCGAAGTAATGAGCTACGGAGAGCAGTTCACGAAGTCACGCACAGCACATGAGTACAGTAGGACACTCATACCTCTTTGTTCCCGTAGTATCTATGGAAAAGGAGAAGAATTTTGTCATTAATTTTCGCTGATAAGTGAAGTGGGAAAATTTTGCGCCGTCCACGGTCTAATACCGATCGTCATAATTTTCATAAAGATTTTTCTTCGTCGTGAAATGAACTTCCGCCAATTTATATACGAAGTGCTGGAATCGAGGAGGCGGTCACGGCTCCGGGTTGCAACAACCCGATGCAAATCTCGGACCCACGAAAATTTGTGCAAGAGGAATCGCAACGGGGGCAACGCAATGAAAATGCATGCAGTTCTCTTTTTCTCTCCCGCGCACCAAGGTCGACTCTCGCACTGACGTGTTTCGTTTTCTCTAATTGGCCCTTGGGGCAATAATCACACCCACTTGCCGCATGCAGCGTGCAAGGAGACGCGTATTCCTGTACTTGTAGCAGCAAAATCAGGTCTACGTGTTGAACGAGCTCCGTTACAAAGGCGTAATTTCGCAGGAATCGAATCTTGAGTGCGTGCATGCGTCGAATACTTGCATTCATAACTTATCCGTCTCGTAAATTGAATTTTGAATACGGGGCGCACGAGCCAAATGCATGAGAAATCAACTGGAAAGCGCCTGTGAAGAAAAATCGAAAAAAATTGAACCTTCCAGCAGCTTTTTTATTTTTATTTTCCGTCAGCACTTTTACTTTTAGTTGCCGAACATATTTCACCAATTACGAATTCGTGGTCATGACGTTTATTATCGCTCTCCACTGCGCGAGAATTATAACAACCGTTAATCCTTGAGCTCGTGAACTCTGAATTTTTATAACCTTTTTGACTATTGCTAAAAATTGAATTTTAGATGCAGCTACTGCGATGAAATGCATTGAGTTATCAACGGAGGGCTGCCGTTTGAGTCGTTCTCAAGGAAAGTATACAATCAGAATCGAAAGAAGCGCAAGCACTTTTCAGTACAGAATTCGGTTTCACGAAATGACCTGCGAAGATTACTTCATACGTTGCAATGCTTGTAAAGTCATGAGGCTTACTACAGTACCTCAAAAATGATTCTCTTCGTTCCCGTAGTACTGTCCAGAATTGAATTTCTGTAAATTTCGTCCGATGAAAGTTGTGCCGAAGATTTTTCCAGGTTTGCGTCGGCATCAAATTTCTCGAAATATTGTATATCACCACCTTTAGGTTATTTGACTCCACAAAAATAAACAGACATTATTTAGCTTATTGTGTTGTCCACCGTTCGAAGGGAGGAGGATATCAGATACTTTCCTGTTTAATAAATGATTTACGCAACAAATAAACCTACATGGCTGCAACAGCAATTTTTAAAATGAGAAAATGAACCAATGGATGAGTTCCTTTCATTATTCTGTGTAGTCCCTAAAATTGTGCGCAAAAGCAAGCTCGAACCCAGTGTGATGATGTAGTTCCCATGTGGTGTCAGGGGATGTTCATCGACAGCTACGAACAACAGCAAAAAAATAAAAGAAAAAAAGACGGAATTCGGTGGAAAAAGGTGCGTTGTAATACCAAATATCGTCTCCCGTTCCACACCGTCGAAAGGCGTGCCGACAGGATCGAAAATATAATGAGGCATGGCGAAACAACACGAAAAAAATAAAACACAAAAATAAAACGTAGAAGCAGAGCTCACGCAGCATTCATGCCCAGAAAGTCGAACCTTCAAACTTGTGCTGCAGCGTGGGTGACGAGCCATCCACACATCCGCGTCATCATTTGTTCCCTCCTCATCGCAAGTTCCGTATCACATGTTCGCCGAAATGCATGAAACAACTCGGTCGCGGAAACGCAGGGAACATGCGTCCGATTAAAAATAAAAAATAAAAGCGTATCGCTGAAGGAAGGAACCATGTCCCTACTCCTGCCGCGGCCTTGGGAACGAGTCCTGAGGTACGATTAATCCCCGCGCGACGAAGCGTCGTTGTTTGTTTGACGGCAAAGACTCTGGCGAACTCCCACTGCGTTCTTCTCCCGACGGGAAAACCGGAAGCTCTAGTTCTCCTCGCGGTTCCATCTGATTATTCCTCCATTCTACAGCACAATGTGAACAGGCAAAATCCCTCTCTCTTTAATAGTAAAACCAGTTACAACGAAATCCCAGGGACCTGAGAAAAATTCGTTTTATTGAGATTAAAGATTTTCAGCACATTCCAGACTGGAATTTTATTGGAAATGGCGAATGCATTCTTTAAAATTCTTCTAAAACAAATAATTCAAGATCTAGCTTAATTAATGAGTACTTCTGACAAAATGAAGAGAAATCCTATGATGTGAATATAAATCTCCTTTAAATGAACTAACACTTGTACTAAAGTATTGCTTGTCTTGAAAAATAAAATGAAACAAATTACGTATGGCAAAATAATGCACTTCCAGGACCACAAAAAATTCGTTATAGCGAGATTCGTTGTCAAGGAATTATACTGTACCATAAAACACTTGACGGATTCAGAAACGGACTCATGTACGTGTACGGGAGGACTCTCTTCACCTCAATTCACTGGTCCAGGAAACACAGTACAGTACAAGTCGTTCTTGGACCCTGTTATTGAGGAGCTGCTCTTGCATGGATCATGAAGATTGTGAAGGGCTACTTGAATAAGAAAAAAATTCTTTCGTGGAGAATACCCTTTAACGCACTCCAAAATATCGCACTTTTTCCCGTAAAAAATGACTCCAAAATTCAGAATGCGCCTCACATTCGATTACGTTTTATGCTCACAGGTAAAATACACGAGTTCTTCTAACGAACACATATTCTGTACGAAAATTGTCTGCATTGTAATCGAAAAAATGAATCTGTACTACAGTTTCATTTCAAGCGCGAACAGTGGCCTAATTTCATTGTACAGTAACCTTAATTTCTGCTGGAAAACGCTTGAGATGATCAGGCTGGTAACTGAGGCGTGAGTGGAATCAACATTGATCAGAATTTTAAAAAACTATACGCATTTGAAGATTGCCTTTTGATCACGTGCAAAACTGCTCTAATCTTTGAGTAACAAAAAGGCAGTGGAATGTCTTTGTATAATTTGGCGTCTCATTTTTGACTAAATACGGCTGTAGACAAAATAAATTGAGAGGGAGTCCATCATTATCTTCATTTGAACTAAAGTTCATTGTTTTTGTTTAATCATCCCTCTGGAGGCTTCAAAAGTTTATGAACAGCAAAATATCTTTTAATTTATCTGGCAATTATCTCATTTCCTTTGATGGAAAAAACTACTCCCTTAAAAGTAAAATGAAAACGCCGACGGTCGTTTTTTGAAGGGAAGCATACAGAAGAAAATCCTCCAGGCCCAATATTTTGATGCAACGGGGAATTTGCGTGACGTTATTTTCTATTAATGATTTTCAATACACGTATTTTACTTGGATTTTACACAGACCACCATAGACATTCACAAGCGCCATGTCATTTTCCCGGAGTGGTTTTTCGTGCGCGGTTTTCATCTGACCGTCTCCAATCGGCACGGTTGTGACAAAAAAAAAAAGCTTTTCGTCAACCATTTAGGTTCTTCGGTAGGGGTAATTTAATCTTTCCCGTAAGCGTCACACAGGACAAAATCCGATTATTTTACATCAACGATGCAAATTTTCAAAATGTATAGCCGTAACAAGGATTCTGAAAGCAGATCTGGTGGTTGCCATTCATTAGTAAAAATGTTGGATTGACTTCGGTCTGACAAGAGATTTTCGGGAACGACGCAGCAAATTAATGGACTGCGTATCGCCATATTCATTAAAATATGTCATTGAAAATTGAGTGATTTTGACGATAGAACCTTCGTACACAGATTTTAACCCCTTCAGTGTGACTATACTGTATCGATACAGTATTCTAAAGCTAAAATGTCCCCACTCGTCAAAAAAGTACTTGTATACTGAATAGCAACGAAGATGCAGATGAGTTAATAACATGACGTGACGACTGAGTTCGACGGGACTTGAGCGGAACGTTCGCGAAGATGTGTTTGGGCGATTTGGCATATTTATAGAGTAATTCTCGATCGAAAAAATTGAATAGAGATGTGAGTCCCTTCGTTAAGGTTGTCGATTACTCTAGAGGTGAAATTAACCCGAAAGAATCCATTGTGGAGAAGATATGACCGTGCGTGGCGGCAGTCAATCGGGACGGGTTCGAAAATGTATTCGGTGGATTTCAGGATGCAGAACAAAGTCCTTTGATATTGCGTCATTTCGCATTCCACTTCTCGAGCAACCTCATGCTTTTAGATCAAGGTACCTTCCCAGGGGGCGCCAGTTTCATCGACGCAAGCGATGGGGTTCCGATGACGGCGATAGCGAGGAAATGATCATTTCCCGACCACCCGGATGGGAGCCGCCAGAGCAGTTGCCGTCCACACCGAGGGCGACGCGTTTTGTCGCCTAGCTGCTCTGGGCCTTGTTCAGTCCGGACACGACGGCGATAAAAACTCCGCGGCATAAACAGCCAATGGAGCGAAACAAGCGTCCGGTGGAATTCTTTGACCAACAACGGCCTGCAACCGGATCGCGCGGGACATCCGGGTACACGAGCCAGACGATTGAAAGATCTGCCCACGCCTTGGATCCCATTACGATTCATCTCGCCTGCATAAATCTAAGCGTTGCTCCATCCGCGAAAGAATAAACGCTGAGTAACTGATCCGTGGGCGGCGGAAAACGCGGCGATTGCCATCAACGACCGTGCAATCAGTCGCCGGCACGCCGAACAACATACAAAAAAAGGGGGGAGGGCCTTCGAGTCCGATTCATTGCGACAGGATTGTTCTCCGAACTGTCGCAAGGTCCGCAAAAAAAGGAAAAGGGGAAAACAACCAACTCAAGTCTGTTTGTTACGCACGGAAAAGAGATTTAACGACTTCCAAACAAGCTCGGGCTCGAGGCGCCACCAAAAACCGCTCTTTCGCACCGAAACGACAACAAGTTCTCCCCGTGATTACTCAATTAAAGACTTTTAGGAATGCTCCTGAGATTAGGGATGGGCCACGACAACAAGACCGCATAAATTAAACCATTTGGAACGTTCGCGTCCGGAAATTATGGCAACTGGTGCAGCCTCAACTCTATGCATCACTCGGATCCGCGGATCAGTCCGTCTCCTGCTACGTGCCTGTCTGCCATGCATCGCCCGCAGGATTGGCACGCTCGTTTTCGATTGCTTCACTGATGGGCCAACGCGGATTTGTTTCTCTCTTCTCTGCTCATGGACAAAGGTCTTCGCAGCGGTGCTAAACCGACACGTGGCGTTTCATGTGTAGTGACAAGTGATCGGAACGAGAGAAGGCTCTTTCGCACAGGCGGCACCGGAACGGACGATCGCCGGTGTGTTTCCGGTAGTGACGCGTGAGCTCGTCGCTGCGGGCGAACTTCCAACCGCAACCCTTCCAGCAGCACACGTAGGGCTTCTCGCCGGTGTGGGTGCGTTGATGCGCTTTGAGGTGCGAGGACTTGGTGTAGGTTTTCTGGCAGCCCGGGTGCTGGCACACGTGCGCCGTGAGCCGCTTCTTGTTCCACGACTTCTTGCCGGGTTTCTTGGCCTTGCCGAAGTCCAAGCTTTGCGCCAGCTGGTTAAGCAGGGCCGGGTGCCCGCTCGACGATGACGAGGAAGACGAGGGTTCGTCCCCAGACGATTCCTCGACAGCATTCGGCGATGCCGGCGGCGTGAGTAATCGAGTGGCTGACTTGAGCTCCGTTAGTCTGCGAAAAAATAGAACAAAGCCCATGCAAAAGGCATTGAAATATACGGGTTTGAGAAAAGGTCTTAAATCACGATTGAGAAAGCGAGATTACGCATGCATGTCTGTTATAAATAGCTTCTTACCGTCACCTTGGAATTTAAACGGATTCTCGGTCTCTGTCGCACACATTTGCACTGGAAAATAACTACCGCACCATTGAATATCGTTGCTTCCAACATGGATACAATGGCTACTGAAAGACAGCTGACATCCTGGCCGAGAAACAATATACTGTAAATCGTGTTCTGTCGACCAAATGCTCGCCAGCAGTGTAAAAAGGGCAAAAAAATTAAGTTACATGTTGTCAAGTTCTGGTTCTCAGCATTAAAGGAACGACAGCTGATAAGCAGCAATGATGATGATTGAAGTATTCAATAATTTTTGAGAAATAATAGTGACCGTGATGTATTTGCATTGTTTTAAGCGGTCAGGAATCTTATTCGTAGTCGTAAAATGGAAAAGACAGACCTCATAATCAACAGAAAAAAATCGTTATGTGCAATGTGACCAAGAATTAAGCGCCGATAACGTGCATAGGTGAATATGTCCACCAAGAAAAGTATTGTTTTAAATAACACATTTCCTTGAATAAAAAGAGCACTTTTTCTCTCGCCAAATTCAGGTTTGAACATTCATATCAGCGTATGTGGTGTCTCATGTTCGATCGGTAATACAATTTGCAGGTGAAGCGAGTGAATGATTCCTTCTGACGAGCACGAACTTTTAGATAAGAATCGTCAAAAACTCGATTAAATAAAGTCGTACTCAATTTATGTTCACGGATCAGCATCCTGATTTATTTTGAATGAGTTTGAGGACATTGCACGTATAAAATTTATATTATGGGGACAGTTCTAAAATGGTGCTCTTCAACCTTTAGTATATGCTGGATCACCTAGTATAAGTCGAAAAAATTCTTCTGGAGAGATTTGATCTTTGCAGCAGTTCTTTACATAAATCAGGAGCCAGTATAAAAAGTATTAAAGAAATAAATGAGTCGATAAACTATTTTGCTTACCTTTATTGCTTCTAGGATGTAAAAATACAGACAATGCTCTATAAGTCTAGAAAGTGTAGTCTTTGTCCTCAGGATTCCTGGATTAAAAGCGGACAGTACACTTGCAAAGCTATCGATCGACGGATGTGATCAGCTCAAGTCCCCAGTATAAGTTTCTACAACAACAACCGCACGTAACCTGCCTCCTCTGGCCTCTAGAACTTCAGGTACTGACGAGAGAATCCCGGCTATTTGCGAAGAGCAGACTCATTCAAATTTAAAATTCCAATTCGGTATTTTTTATTTCTGCCCGAAGGCTATTGAACGACAATACGGGTGTAATCAAGTTGTTCTGCGCGAATCAACGCGGTATCTTTACGGAGGTCTGCATATTTAAACTTTCATACGAAAAAATCGATTAGCCAAATGCGGTATTCTAGATGCAAAAAAAAAGGAATTGAATCAGACAGCGTTCGCGAATTTGACCGCTAAGAAGGTATTCAAGTACAAAAATACAAAAGGCATTCAAAATTTTGCACTAGTTTCGTTGTAGAACCTTCAGTCACAAAGTCGAAGTCAGGGTTTATGATATAGATTTCACTTCCTCACGTTCGATGCGAAGCCGAAGGTGAATCAACAAAAAAATCGTTTCCTTGTTCTTGAAGGTCTGAGAACTCACGCGAGCCCCGGTCCCAAAAATTTTTTTGAACGAGGAAATATTCCCGCTTTGTTATCGCACCTGCGTTTCTGCACAGGAGTGCTGAAATCGATCATCAAATAACAACCTTGTTGAAGTCGGCCATAACAAGGTGATACTTTGAAGCGGTGCCCGATTCTATTCATTAATTTTAAAGAAATTATTTAAATGGGAATTGAAGTTCCTTTTTTTGGGCTCTTTTTCGCTCATGGCCGAAGATTGGCTTTGGAAATGGATGTGTGAGTGATGAGCACGATGATTGATCAAAACGGCTCAGCTTTCAATACTTGGACAGAAAAAATTTACAAGTTCTGTTGGAAAATTAAATATTAACAGCTTTGATTACACTTCTAATTGATACAGATATTGCGTTAATTTGTATTTACCAGGTGAGTCAAAAAAATTTTCAAGGATTGAAGAAATTAGAAATCCAGCTTTTTTTCGTATACAATCTGTAGGCTGTTGAATGTTAATCTGCTGGGGTTGGAAACCTTCTCCAATACTGTACTTCCTCTGTTCCTCACGGACAGAAATAAATTATTTTGTGCATTCAGGCAGGGCGAGCATTTTATTTCTGCTAGATCAATTCGTTTTCGGAGGGCTACACCGTTATTTATTTATTTAGTTTTCAAAAACGGCGGTTCAAAATCAGGGTGCGGTCTACACTCGTGCATACGGTATATTTTCAACCGGGCAATGGAAAAACTGTTATTGTTACAGAAAATTCTTTTTACTCATTCGCAGTGATTGTTGAGAATATGCTTTGAATATCTGGTACTAGATTTACAGTTTAACGGGAATAGAAAAGATTCAGCAACGGATCGAGAAATATTCGCAGATATCTCGTACTGCATGGCGGAACCTCGGTGCGAAAAACCGAAGGCCGCTGATCCCACCTCGTCAGATATCCTGAAGTTGGCATGGGAAAAACGGACATTGGCTGGGAACTAGTGGGCTATCGGAACTCGGGCGAAATGAAAAAATAATAGAGGAATTTAAAAGCAGTGTTAGCGCAGAAATATATTTTTTTCTGTACCCAAGAAGTCTATCGGAGGAAAGAAAACTGGTTCATATTTTTATTTGCTTCATTGCATCTTCAATTTTTTTGACAACTTTGCTAGGAATTAAATTGAAACGTTCGAACAAGATCCTCCTCAAGGACAAACGTTTTTAATTAGAATAAGATTCGCATGTATTCGATTCGTTTGGAACAAACACTATATCCGTAACAGTGAAATTGTTACCATCACAATATTACTATTTCATTCAAAGACAATAGATTTCCCAGGATTCTAGCAATCTTAAAATGTAGTTTCGGGTGATTATAAGCATTTTTTTTGTGGCAAATATGCAAAACTAGAACTGTAAGTACTGAGTTTGTGCTGGCGAATTTTGATGCATATTTCGAGACGTCCAATGCGAGGAATATACTGTACTTGTATCAAGCATTCATTGAAATTTGTTCAGATGAAACAGAAAAATTACAACAAATGATTCGTTGGTTTCGTGTATCTATTTCTGTCCCAGATCTCGGAGGAATTCGACCTACCGATTGTCCACGAATCGCAAACACGTTTTTTATTTCTTACCGAGGAGAATTCGTGTCGATTGGAGGAATGGCGATCGACGTGATCTGCGGCAGCTGGACATTGTCCCAACAGGGTTGCCACTGAGCCCCGATCCCCGCACCGGTCTGGCCCTTCTGAATACGGTCGTCGTTTTCGGGACTCGACGGCGGTGAAACCTGGCCGTGTTTGTACACGGCCTTTTTGCCACCCGACTCGGCGTCGTTTGGCGTGAGGGTCACAAACGACTGTCGCGGGTCTAGGTCATTGTTGCACTTGAGCGTGAGGAGGTCCGTAAATGCGAACGTGGATTGGGGTGGTTGGTTGGGCTGGAATGGAGGCACGAGTATTGGATCACAGTCGGAGTAGAGCTTGTCGGCTGCCGTCGTGACGAGGAGATCCAGGTCGACAACGTCGTCGGACCGATCTCCGAACTCGCCACAGCAGCCTAGCTGCACGTCTTCGATCAGATTCAGGTCACTGGTGCCTAATGGGTCCAGCACAGTCTCCATGGATGGCTGGGGATCGCCTTTGGCAGGGTGCAGACATGGCTGAGGCTGCTCGGCTGCGCCATCGAGCAGCGTGCCATCCATAATGTCATGCCACATGTCTGCGAACTGAAAAAGAATTCACTCATTTTCACGAATAACTCGGAAAGATATGCAGGATAGACCAGAAACTTTCCATGCAACAATAAAAGCGGAGAAGTCAAATTTATGCTAAAATGAATTTTTAGAATTCATTTTCTCAATGCCTATTTTAGAATCGTTTTTCATCAATATCGCGGAATTTATTTTAAAAGGGTAATGTATAAGTGAATGATACAAAGTAAAATAAAATCGACGAAACATATATTTGTTGTGCTGCATCACACGCAATAATTTAATTTGCATTGTGCCGGTGAAGCTTTTGCGAGAACCATTGAAAGGCTCTCTTTTGCTAAAAGAATGCTATGACGGAATTTTGTCGTAAACGAATTTCACCTGTATCTCAAAATCTAGAAAGGTCGAAAAAAGCCAATTCTGCTCTGGAGAAACGTCAACTTCACAAGCGACTGAATGTCCTAATTTTTCCGTTTTGGTATTGCTGTAAATCTGATTAAAAACCCACAATTTTCATTTTTTTTCGAATGAAAGAAATGTTCTAATATTTACTGAACGAAAGTCATTCCCTTCCAGATCAACTAGAAATTTAGCATGAAATGACGCATGTAACATCCAAATCCGCTCGGCAAGTATCAAAAGCCTCGCCGAATATTAATAAGGATTTGTTTGATTCCTTGAGATGCAAGAGGAGTATGGCAAATAACTTATAAGTTACAGAATTCCGATGGGATCTCAAAAATGTGTTGCACTTTGAGAGCTGCGAAATGTTGTTAATATTGCTTTAGGTAATTTTTGTTGCATTTTTTAATTCAGAATTTTCCTACTCATGCGATTGCCTTTAATGGTAAATTATCTGGGTGAAAGTATGCAATCAGTCATTAGCCCGGAAAAGGTGAGGTACCCTTAATATCGTATTCATTTCGTGAACAATTAAAAGCCCTCTCTTCTCTTTAAATGCCGGCATGCACACACTTAGTCTGCTACCCGAGACTAGACCTATACGGCAGAGTAACGCTGAAAATTCACAAACCTCAAATCAATCCAATACTATACTACTGTCAATTTTTTTCTTGATTTGATGCATCTGTTAACGTTTCTCCGGCTAATTTGAGCTCATCAGCCTGTTGAACGATTACTTAAGCGAGAACGACTTTCAGAAAATACTTTCGTTTGCTCACTAATGGAACTCATTCCATACAGATCGCAGTACACATGCCTTGTCATTGTCAAGACCAAGATGATGAATTATGACGGATCTCATTCCGTGAGTTTCCTTCAATGTCCAACTTGTTGAATTATTGGTGAGTTAATGTTATTTTTACAGATATTACACACTTCATCTCGCGCCTTCAGAATGTTTCAGGGGCAATGTTTTTTATCTTGGTTTAAATGGCTGGGATTTACGATTCATTCAGTGGAAGACGAAAGAATTGCCCAAAAGATCGACAAGGATAGTGGGGGACTAAAGCCGAGCATCCCCCGATTTTGCCACGTCAACATGAAATACTGTAATGTTGAAGAAAGTTTCCCCCGAGACCTTACTCTGCGACTATACGCACGCCAGGAAGAAAGACGAGCACGCATTGGCGTAATAAGGACTTTATTTCATCCCCGCGATCGCGTGGGTTGTCGGATGTTTGGCAGCTAGCCGCGCCGCCACGACCCATCCACAGGAAATCGACAATTCGACGCTTCCGAATCCGTCAAGGCAGGCTCCGATTGATGAGCAAACTTCGCGCGGAACACCGCCGAGGATCCGGTTACTCAGCAAGGTGATGAACAGGAAAACATCTCCTGACAGCTTTGCATGGAAGCCGAAAAAGGAAGAACCGCGTATTGGTTCAAGCCGTACAAGCGAACGAATCGTTGCCTCGGACTCGTGTTTGATGTTCTCGTCGGCGCAGGCGCGCATAGAAAAGGGAAATCGGGACACGTGAGCAGGAGGCAAACAGGCAAATTTGGAGCCACGTATGGGAAAGTTTGACGTTGAGTAAATACTGGACCGAATAATCCGAGGATCTACAATTCACCGTATTCATACATATTTCCTAAAGTAAACTCTTCTCAAAGTGGCTCTTCAGCGAACATCCTAGGGTATAATCCTCAATTCTAGTCAACAAACCTGCAATTAGAAATCAGGCGCAACTGCACCTGCTTTTTTCTTACTTGCCACAAAACTAGCTTTCCTGCATTTAATTTGAAAATATCAGCGAAAAAGAGCGTATTTCTCTGAGATACGCTCTAATTCAGGCATAATTTTTGCTAATCGCTCCGTGCGTCGCTGAAGTCAACAAAAAAGCTGGGAGATGCAAAATGAATCCAGCTTGGGATCCATCCACCAAATCAGCTAGAGGGTTATTATTCTTCGACCATACCTAATGAGCCATTAAAAATTTCAAATGAATTTCTCGAAGACAGTAAAAATTCTTTGTTTATTCAAGAGTATCGAGGCAAATGTCATTTCAAGAAGTTGAGAAACAATTTCGCAAATCAGAAAGGATCGGAAGTATAACCGCGTATAATAATATAAACAAAGTTTGTTCTTCCTTCTCCGTGTAAAGCGTTTCTTATGGATCTATATCTGACGCAAGAATCCCACGAGTGTGCGAGTTCAGGCATAATTTTCTTTCTGAAAATTGCCACAAAAAAAAAAAAACCTTAGGTGCGGCCAATAATTGAGATTCTCGCATAAAGGCCGCTCGCGGACAGTAGAGAAAATTTTTCAGCGACGGGCCGGAAAGAGAAGCGCTCTTGACGACGGAGGGGCAATGCAAAAATCAGCAATATGGCTTCCTTCAATGTACACTACAGTATACAGTATTCTGAAATTCTCAAGGATTTGTCTGTTTATCGGTTTTGTTTATCGAATTTTTTTAGGGCCTGAACATTTTAAAAATGAAATTCCAGTCGAAAATCTGGGCGGGGCCAATACTTGTGTAAATGCAGTACAATGACGAGAGGGGAAAGCTCCGTTCAATCGAGCCACGATATTCATGATACCTTTGAGAATACGCAGTCAAAAATACTGTGTTGGTCATTCATATTCAAATGATCGTTTAAAAGAAATATCTACAGCAATAGGAAAAAAGATTTCCATCAACAATGACGCATTCAGAAATTTTTCCGCGGTTCGAAAGGTCACGTGAGCCGCACGAAATTGCTACTGTTCCGCTCGAGCACAAAACCGACGTGTTCTCATACGCACACACAGTGGAAATTTTATGTGGTTTCACGGCCACTCGAGAAGCACAACTAAATAAGAGGCACATGCTTTTTTCAGGCACTGAGATCGCTCGAACACGGAGCAGCAACGGGAAAGCAAAGCGCATTTGAATTTGTTGCGTTGGACGTGGATCGACGTCCCTGATCTATAATTAGGAAACCAGGCGCCAGGGTTTCAGACAATATCTGCGCGGGATAAAGGCTTAATGTGGAGAACACGCGCAGGAAGGAATTGCCTGTGAAGGCCGGGGTTCGAAGCCAGATCACTCAGTAATTCCGCTCAAACTACCACCTTCCATCACCCGGTGGACCCTGCCCGTCGAGCGATCGGAATTAACGTACGGCTCTTTATTGCTGCGAGATCAATTAGAGCACGACAGTTGTTCAATTGCATCTGAATGGACATTCTCCTCAAGCATGACCAAATTAATAAAAGAGGGTCAAGGCTTCTGGTTCGCAATATTCGGCAACGTTTCGCTGTGCTCTGTTGCCGATTATTCCGTCTACGGATTCCAACAGGTGCGGAGCCCGTAAAAACCTGAAAGGCTCCATGTCTAAGCCGAGATATTGTGCTGCAGAGACCATACTCCTTGTTGGAACAAAAAAATCATGGCATTTCGATCATCAAAACTTTTTTCTGAGACAGTTGGGGGCCATTAACTAGGATTTATCGATTTTAGCATCTCAGTGGAGGGAGTATCGGTGAAAAAAACACACACAAAAAACAAGACAACTGTTCAAATCCTTTGACCAAGTCGTCTCTCATCCTTGAGATGCAGTCAGTATTTCGGCAAAAGTCGGCGTCTTCAAAGAAGGAAACCACTGGAAAAAACACTGTACTGTACAAGCTTTCTAAATAAAAGCAAGATGCGATTCACTTAACTTATATTCATTCATAAAAGCCGCAACAATACCGCTCTTTATTATTCAAACGTATATTGCGTGCTCAGAAAATTCAACTGAGATTTTTTCTGCAGCGATATTTTCCACACAAATTTTTCATTTTTCTGGTCTTGGAGGACCAGCAGCCATTTTCTTGGCTTCAGGAATTAATTTATAGCCCAACCAGAATTGTAAAGAGGTTAATTTCATTATTATGCCTTCGATGACTTGAATAAACTGCGTTCTCGAATTTGTACGCCTTCAAATGCCGCATTTACGGGAATAAAGACCGCGTCCGTCAATCAACCGCACCCAAATTATGAACGATAACGTCTTGAAAAAATTTGGAAGACTACAGAGATGGATCAGAAAACAGTGTGCTAATATTGAAGGTGGAATATAACTCTAAGGTTAACGCTTTCCAGTCAAAGCAAAGCTCATTGTACAGTACAGTACTAAGATTTGAATAACGTCCAATTGGGGGTTTCATCGAACGACTTCTACCAGCATACGTATTTGATAGCCAAACAAATGTTCGAATTGCTTCCGTCCAACGATTTTTTGTGCGTTCACTCAAGGATTGCTCACTTTTTGCGCGTTTTAAATGAAACTCGATATAGTCGCCAACATTCGGCCAAGCAAAACTCGGGGGCGGTTCAGATTTATGCTCCTGGCGTTTACCGAAAATATTTTGCAAATACGTACTGTATAATCTCTTGAATGGGTTGGCAAAAACGAAAACGAAGATTCTGCTGAAGACAAAATGAACGGAATGTTCAGGCCCCAGCATGCAGTACCATTATTTCCTACAGGCTGTTCTAGAAATTCTCTAGTTTTATCTTTTGCTGTACAAATTCGCGCAGAATTCATTTTACGCAGTCCAACTGAAAGGCTAAGGAACGAGCTAT